TACAGAAAGGCACTCCAGGCAGAAACTGATGCTGATACTCTCCTGAACAGCTGTTACTCCTTTGAATGATGTTCATTGATTCAGTCCCCAAACCATGAAGGATCCTGCACTGGCAGGCAGCTAGATGAAGTGATTTGAAATTTTTTTTCTCCATCTCTTAACTTCAACTATGAAATGTGATCTGACAGTGGGATAAGCCCATAGCAAGTTAGGTAACATTTCACTAGCTACATGGTTACAAAGCCATTGCTGATGTGTAATGCATACAGACTGAATGTGTGGTGTGCATTTTCCACGTTTTTGTAGCCTACGCAATAACAATTTTTTATTGTTTCCTACTCCCTTATTTACTAAGCCATAGAGTACTGTTTTCTGGTATTTAGATGCATCTCCCCTTTGCTAGGTTGTAAATTGTGGCAAGAGGCTGTAAAAACTCAATATTGCGTACCTTTACTAAATCGCATCAAAATATGCTGAATTAGGTTGTATACTCTGACAGGTGAAAGAACAGTTTGTTACTGTTAGGCTGGTTGCTTATAGCCCTATCAAATGGAAAGACCTTTCTCCAGATGTTGGAAGAAGATAGCAAGACCTCATTTTATGTTCCTAATGAATGTTAACTGACAATCTAAAGAAAAGACAATCAAAAATCCAGATAAGTCCCTAATGCTGTCTGTTAAAATAGAGTGATAAACCACACTAGGATGTGCATTAGTGTCTAAGATTTGCACGTGCCTTGGATAAATACCAATGGCGTTTGCCTTAACTTCCCATATAATACACAAATAGCTCACAAGGCTTTATGCAGCATATCCTTCCCTTGGGAAAATAGTTTCTTGTGGAAGGATGTGAAAAACTACAGAAACCGTATAAAACTAATTTCTTCTAGTTTGAATAACAAACATTTTAATACTGAGTACTCATTGTAGGTGCCCTGGACTTACACTTTCACAAATATTTGTGACCTAACAGGTGCTTTCTGTACTCCTTTTCTACTAAATGGAATTAGGGCCCTACTTCCAATTTCAAGAGAACATAAGTTGAAGTGGCTGCAGGCCTACATATGGCTGCTGCTGGGACAATAGAACAAAGCATCAGTCTCTCCTAGTTCAGCCTACTACCACATTTTACTTTCCAGTCTTTCACCTACCTGCACTCCCCTCTCACCTTTTTTCCTCTGCTACTTTCCTTAACCCTGTAATTTTTATGAAACAACTTGTGAGGCCCAGACACACCCCCAAGTAGCTTTATAACAGACCTTGCTTTACAGATGCTCAGCCATTGAGTGCTGCAGCAGGATGGAAAGGAAGCTGCAGCTTCCTTCAGAAATGATGCTGCCAGATGTTGGTCAGCATCCCAAGTCTGTGTGGTTTCAAGAAAATCCCGTGCCCAGTATTTTACATGGAGGCAGAAGGGGGAGAAAAATCTTCCTTCCATGTAACATTTTTTAGTTTGTTGAATGAGCATAGATTTTCTCTTTGCATCATGTGAATGCAGTTACATTGGGAGTTGATGCATGGTTCTGTATATCCCAGATAGCCACTCCCAGCTCTGAAACTGGAGTTAGCTTTGGACACCTCTATCATGGTTTTATTTTTTAAGTAAATACTCCTAGGTTTTAACTGCAAGGGCAGTAGAAACCTTTGCAGTCCGAGTTTCTTAGAAGAGCTAACTTTTTGTATTAAAATGTTAATTTTCCATTGTTGTTATTCAGGTAAGAGCAGGGAAGTAGATTTTTAATGATGGTTTTGCAAAGTTGCTTCAGGGTTATCAGCTGTTCTTACATATACATGTGAACTGGCAGCGATATCAGTGGAAATGGCACAAGTGCACATCTGAGAGTAGAACTGGGTCCATAACATACCCTTTTCCTGTTGGTCTTTCTCAGCCCAGATTCTGTTGCTCCATTTTGTAGAGATCCATGTTGCAAGTAGCTTAATCCATAGAGTCAAATTCTGAACTGCCTTCCCAAATGGGACAGCAGTCGCCTTTACCCCATTACCTGGAATACTGGTTTGTTCCTGAGACTGTCATTATGTGATTGCTCCCTACAGCCATCAATGGGGTGATGTGCTCTGTACACTCCTTGCCTTACATACCCCATCTCCTAGCATGCTCATAGTCTCAGGCTAGTGCAGCGAGTTGCAATAGGACTTTATACATCATTC